TTGGTTAGACCTTAGCAAAACTTGTTTTCAAGGACATAATTCATCTAAGCACTATCTGAGAACTAATATTTATCATCCTCCCAAATGAAGAACCAGCACAGAAGCATGCTGGAATCTGAAGAATCCGGACAGCTAATGATGTCTGTTGTGAACCTGGTGCTTGTGTGGAGATATCCATATGTGTTTGTGCTCAGTCTAAGAAGCAGCACAGGCTCTGATTGTTAAGCTCTGCACAGCCTAAACAAGCAAGGATGAAGCCTTGCGCAAACCTGAGAGGAATAAGTCCAGGAAGGAGGAGAACATGGTCTGATGTCATGCAGCTTCTAAGAAAAAATGTTACAGGCAAGCAAGTCTACAACAGAGAAACACCTGGCTCTATCACTGGTTTCTTTTCCTCAGTTCCGTAACATATGGGACAGGTTTTGGCCAGATAGTAGAAAACTTGGCATCATGACAAAAACAATCCTCATCTGAAAGTATGTGATATAGGTGAGCATTTGAGTCTCATTGTTAAATTACAGTGTCATATAGACATTACAGCCTTTAGGCACTGTCTGTGCCTCAATACCCAGAAACCAGACCTACCCATTCGGTGACTATGATGTGGACTGGAAACTTCTCCGCCCTTTTCTCATGTTAGCCCTCCAGGGATATGCAAACATGAGGAATGACACAAGTTTCATGCTAATGTGCTAAATATTTAACATTACAGTCACTGGAGCCCCATCCCTTTCTTCCACTGAGGTGACCAAGAGACACATCATGGGATTAATAGCATGGTCCCCAGCACTTGCTCCTTGATGCTACTTGATGCGGGCAGGTGTATTTGAGCCAGGCAAGATCAGCAGGCAGAAGTAAAGACAACGGGGACAGGCAGCACAGCCTGCAGTATTGTTGCACCCTGGCTGGGGCTGATTGTCTCATTTGCACAGCACTTGGGGAGGGCCTGCTCCCCGTGTCTGATATCCTGATGAGCTGCTGGCATCTGACACCAAAGCCCAAGAGAATGCAGACAGGTCACTGGCTCGGTGCCATGGGGAGCTCTGCCATGCAATGGAAATGGCAGCACTGGGAGAAGAATAGTATGTCAGGTGCAAAGCAGCAAGGATGTTTTTCAACTTAAGGATACAGGTGCATAACCCATTTGCTGCCAGAATGAGCATTGTTAGCATAAAAGAAATTGCAGGAGTGCATGGAAAACAGGACAGCTATAAGCCTGACCTGGGTGTAGTTGGTGTTTATGTGCTGGAGCAAGGACGCTGGCAGCCACACAGTCCACATCCCATCATGTGACCAGGAATGGGTAGGTGACACTAAATGGTGCTAACAGGTTGGGGGGCTGGGCACAACCCTCTGGGACCCATCGTCTTCATGTAAAACTATTACTGGAAAGGAGGCAAGAAAATTTCTGGGGTTATGCTGATATGGTTTATCTCTAAGGGACTTTGTTCCTTACATGAACCAGAAGAGCTGTGTGTACTAGTAGCACAGTGGAAAGGGTGACTCCAACAAAGATGCTGAATCAATATAGCATGGAGCTGAAAAATCCTTTCCCTGCCATCCCCTTTCCTCTAGGAAACTTCCCCTGTCACTAAAGCAGGGGCTGTAGCAGGAACTTTAGAGACTCACTGTGTGGAAATTACATATATTGCTACACTACTGTCCTGGATGAGTGGTTTAGATCACTTAAAGAATTACTGTCAAAGGTAATTACTGCAAAAGGGATTTTTAATGTGAATTTATAAAAGTGCAACTTGGCAAAGTTTGATGGCAAGGTTCACTCTATTACTTACTACATGAAGGAAACATACAAAGAAAAATCAAGTTAGAATCGATTTAAAGTGATATTTACAGAGACCAAAGATGTAAAAACATGAGGGAGACACTCCCATTAAATCACAAGGTTCAGACTGAACTCCCTTGCTTTCTAAACTCCTCAGAGAGGAGTCTGGGTGTGGCTAGATTCAAACTTTGTCTCAGACTTTGTCAATGGTTTATGGCTAATGGAATTACTACAAAGGATAAGAAAAATATCTTATTGAGTTATTACATTAATTTGTTGGGGAATGAGCAATTATGGATCCTACACAATTCTGAGGTAGCAGCAATTTAAGATTTTTTTAACACTATTATGATAAACCACAAGATTAGGTTGAATGATTTTTAACAATACTTAATCATCAGCTAATTATAAGGGTAATTTGATAACATTTGTTATAATCAACACTATAAAGTTTCCTAAATCGAATGCACACACACAAACACATGTACACAGAGATAGAGAAATATAGAGGTGAAACTATGATAGTAAATTATTGGTATCAAATGATCTTTGAAACCTTGTGAATTAATCACTACTTTCCTTCATCAGCATTCATCAGCAGATGATCTTTGAACCCTTTTCCTTTGTTGGCATCTATCAGCAGGTCATCTTGGAAGTCATTGTGAAATCTATTCTTCAAAATCCTCATGAAATCTGCCCTGAGAAGCATCCCAGTGCAGGGGGAAATACTGGGTCTCAGCCTGCTGCAATCCTAGAGAGCTCAAAGGGTCTCATTTAGTGTCACTATTTACAGAATCACAAGATGATTGACTTTGGTCAGTAATTTTTCATTTCACTTTGGCCATAATTCTCCTAGGTAATTCTGTACCTTTGAGAGCTGGCTATGATCCAGGCTGCAGAAGTTATAGGTACAGTTCCCAGGCAACAAGAGTTCCAGGTATGGTTAGGGAGCACCTAATTGTCCTAACTCACTGTCAGGCAGCAGGAGTTTTGGGTATGGTTAGGGAGTTCCTAATCATCCCAACTCACTGCACTTGCATAAAGGACAAGAAAGTTCCAGATCGTCCCAGCTCACTGCACTTGTAACCAAGACAATAGCACAACACTGGCTGGACCTGACATTGTAATGTGGCCCAGGGGGTCTGCTCCACCACAGCTGTGTCCAGACTGCAGCCAAGGGCATACTCAGTACCCAGAGGAGTAAAGGTGCAGACATGGATTTCACCACGAGCATCCTAACCCATTGAGCCCACTTGGAGATAGCTCCACTCCTATTGGTATCTGAACTTTCTGGTTCGTCTCAGCTTGCACATTTTCACTGGGCCATAGGCACAACTAGAAAATCTACATCAGGCCCCACATCTGACCAGCACAGATTTAAGGATGGTCCCTGACACAGTGGAGTGAGGCAGGCAGAGCGAAGGGTCTGTGCACCCAATGGGCCAATATTTATTCCAGGTACCTAATAACCAGTAGCTAGGCACAACATATATGCAAACCCTCCCTTCTCCACCACTTTGCCCTACATAAAAATATCTAGAGACGATTCAAGCCCCACTCAGACTGACAGAGCCAGCTGCTATAGCAGAGCTTTTAATCCTAAAGCAGAGCCTGTTGTCACTGGCAGGAAATCTTATTGTGTTGGACAGGCAATTCTAGACCTTAATTAAATAGGCTGCCCTCCCGGCAAAGCCAGGCAGACTAGACTGGAGTCAGACGAAGCAAGTTGCTTAAGCCAGCGACCACCTGGCTGTAACTTCATCTCGGTGACAGCTTTTGTGACCCTCTCTGAAAGGTTGAAATCCCAAGCAAGCTCACAGAGGTAAAGTGAGGATTTGTAAAGAGCAAGAAATTAGAGATGTTCTGTTCTGGGAAGGAATTCATTCCTTCTCCTTTCAGAGACTGAAATTTTGTGGCCAAAGACACAGCAGATCATGCTGGTTCAGGATTGATTTTTAAGGGAGCTGGTGGCTCCTCCTCTTTCTCCATTGCACACAGTGTAGCAGGGGTTGCTTTGAACCAGACCTTATTAGTAGTTCCTAACAGTGAGCACCTAATTTTTCTTTCTCATGCTTGCCCTCCCACTGTCTCTGGCATTACTTTCTCCATACCAGAAAAAAACAGCCATGTCGACTCCACGAATCTCTGCTAGCCATGACCCAGCTGCTTGCCTCTCTGTAGCATCCCACTGCTGTGCCAAGATACGACCCTGCCATTAATTCTTTTGACCCTGTGCAAATATACAGCATGCTGCTCATCCACCTTGCTATTTGCATGGAGACAGCTTGAGTGCATAAGCCAGAAGAGACTGCAGCACCCTACTACTGAGGTCCTGAGCTGGATGATGGGGATGGATGAAGAGGAGAGAATGAAGACCCCAGTGCTCACTGTGGGGTATAACTGCATCTCTGACTAGGTCCATCCAGAGAAACTGCACAATTCCCAAAGAGCCAGCTAGTCCTCTGGGACATCAAGAATTTACACTCAAAAACTCTTTTCAGGCCCCAGCCATTTCTGACTAACCCTTGAGCAGCCTTAGGCACAATGTGCCCTCAGTCTCTCCCCCACCTCAGTAAAATTAGGTCACTTGTACTTCACTGTGGTACCAGGATGGGGAGAGGGCAATGGGCAAAGGTCACTGTGTCTGTCCCTTAAGCTCCCCCACAGGATATGGTTATATATCTGTAAACACAGTGTAGCATGCACTAAGAGATACCTCAGCAAAAATGCAAAATGGTGCAGAGACCAAAGCTTGGGTCTTAAGACCATACACTGCCATTCCAACCTTCCTCCTGGGCTAATCAGCCCTGCTTTCCATTATCTAGAGGGAGCAACGCACAGTGCTGCTGCTGGGACCAGAGGCCACTTGCATGTCCTACCTCCCCATAAATAAGCAAAGGGCCTTCCCTCATCACAGTCACCCCAACACAGCAGTGGCCATGGCCTTTAGTCAGGGAGCGCTTCTCTCAGCTCTGAGGCACTGAGTCTAGGCTGCTGTTTCATGTTGTGAAGTCCAGTAACCAGGTCATGACCCCATGGGGACATCTAAGTGCCCCAAGTCCCCTGGCTGAGAGAGGTGCCATGTGCTGCTCAAGTCACGGACTGACACCACAGGATGTGGTGCAGCTGGATACATATGCAAAACACTTCTCTGCTTTCTTCATCTCCCCCACTTCTCACTGGAGTGCCTGTAATGCCAGGAACAAACACACAACACTGGTGCAGGAATTTTTATTTTCTGAGAAACACATACTTTACTTCCTGGTGCAACAGAACTTCAGATGCGTAGCAGCAGTTACCAGAAACCTATAGAATGCAGGGAGTACTGCTCTTTACAGTTTTGCTAATGTGAGTTTAGCAGCTAACGCAAGTTTCTGAGCTGACAGACCCTAGAGACTTACTGGCTGCATTTACCCCCACGAAGCAAGGTAATACTATGCTGGAAGCTCTCCACAGTAACCTGCTAACAGTCACACCTGTGGGAGGAACACGATGCTGTAACCCTGCTTCCCATCCTGACATCCTTCTCATACCATTTGAGTCAGTCCTTCACTCCCTCCTTTACCACACTCCTCAACATTCCCCTTGTTCCTCCACATTCCTTCATTTCTGGCCATGCCATTTGCCTCCCAGATGAGGATAGGCAGAAGCTCACAGATAACCCCTTATGTTATTTTTCCTAAGAAAGCAGATTATTTCTCTTGTATACATGAAGCTAGGAAACAACAGTTTATAATGGATATCACTCTGGGTGCTTCTAAACTGCCTGGAGTGATTCTTGGCCTCTCATCAAAGCTTTCCCATACATCTTGGATGGTCAATTGTGAGATGTCCAAAACAGTGCTGGGGAAGCTACTCTAAGATGCATGGCCAGGCCTCCACCATGGTGTTTCTCTGTGCATATGTGCTAACCCTGGAAACCGAACTCCTTGTACTTGCTGGCCATATCATTTCGAAACAGCTCCAGGGCCTTCTTCATCGCAGCCTGGGCATCAGCCCCAAAATCTGCAGAGTGTTTTTCGGCAATGACCTTGATAATGACTTCAGAAATGAACTGTGAGGAAGGAAGAAGAGAAAACAACTGAAGGGACACTCAAGGTTTATTTTCAGAAAAAAAAAACAGGCTAAGAAATAGGTTGCAGAGCTTGGAAATATCTCTGAGCTAATTCAGTAGCTCTTCCTACAGTCTCTGGAGAGGCAGCGAGGTCTCTAGCACGCAAGGAGTCTGGGTTAGGCAGAACAACTGAGCTCTATTTCTAGCTCTGATGCTTATCTGCTTCATGACCTTGAGTAGACTATGGCCCTTCCCACTTTTTGTCTGCCTCATCCATTAAGGTCGAAAATTCATACCCTGTGTTTGTACAACACTTAGTTTTGTGGGTCTTGGTTTCCAATGGATCCTCCAGGGTTTACTCTAAAATGGTATGTCCCTCACGTCCAGCCACTGACAGCTCTTACGTAATGTAGTTTCCCAGGCATGCAGAAGCTGCCTGGGCTGGTTTATTATTGTCAAGGGTTGCTCAGACTGCATGGGGTGTTAGGAACGGGAAATCTAAACTTGGATATTCACATTCCATTCACATACCATGAGCCCCTTCTGTGTCTCCTCCTGCTTGTGCAGAGAGACCTTGGACTTGAGGGAGAGCTCACTGAAGCCCAACTAGCCATCAGTAAATAAAAGCACAGCTCTCACATAGCTGTCTTGCACACATTCATTACACATCAGACAGCAGGATTCCCTGCCCTTTTCCATACCTCCAGATATTTGACAGGGATTTTGTGCTTAGTTGCATGGGTTTGAGCCAGGGGCTTCAACTCTGACTCATGATTACCCTTCTGCTTCAGGATTTTGCCCAGCTGGGTAAGAACAGTAACTCCATGTTTCTTCAGATCTTCAGAGCCCTTCATCTGATCAGGGGTCTTCAGGCCTTTGAACTTTTCAAAGCGATCCAAGGTCTCAGGGTGGTCCTGAAAGAGTCTGTGGACAAAAATAGAGGAATTTGTGAGACTTGAGAGCTATCATCCAGGCTAGAGCTGAGGTCCAGCTGGTCCTGGTATTTCAGAGTATATGAACAGGCAAAGTGATAACCCCCTTCCCTCCCCAAAAGCAACTTCTTAGATAGTCCCTGCTAGCAGAGACTACTTCAACCTGGGAACTCAGACATTTTAGATCCTTTCCAAGTTACCACCATTCACAATCACTCCTTTTAGCATGTATATAAACCAGGGAAGCATCTGACCCTACTCTGATTCTGGTTTATGTGGTTTTCATCCTTCCTCTGGTAGGTTGACCTGATGACATTCTGTGTGCAGAAGTTTCCTTTCTATTTAATTTGTACAGGCTGCTTTTTATTATTAACAAATGATAAAAAGCCTCTTGTCTCTGGACAACAGAAACTCCTGGCATACCACCCTTTGAGTGTTGTATCTACTTTAATCCCATCCTCTTACACATGTCCTAACACAATCACTGCTGTCTTTTTCCATTCCCTCTGGCTGTGACAGAGACACTGCCCTAAACATGTACAACTAGAGTAACAGAGCAAGTGTCCATATTTTTTTTATATAGCTCCCCTAAATTTTTGGCATGAGTCCCCTGGGTTATGTCAACTGTATTAAGATAGAGACAAGAGACAAGGCTGGTCATGGTACTGAGAAGTGAGTCCTTGCATTCATCTGAAGGAAAAACAAAACCAAACAAAACCACCTGTCTTCACGGACTTACTGTTGCTTAGGAGCTGACCTGTAGATCGCTGGGTCTCACCAGGACCCTCTTCCCAGGCCATCTCTGAATTAGCCAAGAAAGGAGAGTTCCAGAGGCTTCTCATATACAAAAAAAAGGGATCAGCCCCCAGCCTCAGGTCCTTCACAACTGGAGGTCAGGTGTTCTTGAACATCAGCTGGATGGAACAGATTAATGTGCCTGCACCCTGTGATTGCAGACACAGAGGAATTTGGTTTCTTCCCTTTTCTCCCACCCTCCAGCTCAGCCCAGCTGCCTGCAGTTTGGTTCCTCCATTGGGAACTGCGGCACCTCAGAAAGTCCTTGGGAGCAAATGGATAAGCGTCCCATCTAGAACTCGACATTCCTCCTAAGTATGTTACCAGAAGGGCCAGACTCTCCACTGTATGGTCTAAGTATAGGTTAAACTACGCTAACAAATAAATCACAGAAATCACAGAATTATCAAGGTTGGAAAAGACCTTGAATATCATCTAGTCCAATCATTAACCTCACACTTACTGTTCTCAACTGCACCAGATCCCTCAGCACTATGTCAGCCCAACTCTTAAACATCTCCAGGGATGGGGACTCCACCACCTCCCTGGGCAGCCCATTCCAACACCTAACAACAATGCCTTTCCTTCTGTAAAGAAATGCTTCCCAATATCCAATCTAAACCTTCCCTGGTGCAACTTGAGGCCATTCCCTCTTGTCCTGTTGCTTGTTACTTGGTTAAAGAGACTCATCCCCAGCTCTCTGCAACCTCCTTTCAGGGAGCTGTAGAGGGCGATGAGGTCTCCCCTCAGCCTCCTCTTCTCCAGACTAAACACCCCCAGTTCCCTCAGCAGCTCCCCGTACGACCTGTGCTCCAGACCCTTCACCAGCTTCGTTGCTCTTCTCTGGACACGCTCGAGTCATTCAATGTCCTTTTTGTAGTGAGGGGCCCAAAACTGAACACAGTAAATTCATCCCTTTCCACAACCAGAAACCAAAGGGCTGACCACCGGGCCCAGCCTGCAAGTCCCACTTGGAGAAAACCGGCTTTAGCATCAGGATTTTGTACCTCCAGCCTGCCCACTCCAGTCTCCTTGGCCCAGTACCCTGTCCTGCACCCATGAGGGGAGACCCCAGGGCAGAGGGGCACCGAGCCCTCTGTCAGAGCAGAACATGCTGAACCAGAGTTTCTGCACATCTCACTGAACAGTTCCTGATGAACCAGAGTGAAAAATTTTCCTCCTTTTCCCCCTGTAGAGCAGAGGCCGAGCAGAGCATGCAGAAACCCTTATGAGATACTACAGCACTTGCAATGAGAAACATTTGTGATTGGCACGGTCATCCAGAGCTGCAAATGATTTCCCTCCAACACAATACCTCAAGCACATGGAAAACACAATCTGTTTTGTAGCAAAAAGATTCTGTAGATAAGTGACAGTCTTTGCTGGTGTTTCATTTCAAAGGTCTCCCAAGGATTTCTGTACTCTACCAGCTGCTGAGCAACACCACCATCGGCCTTTCCTTTTTTCCTGTATCCTTTCATGACACAGGCTGTGTCCCACCCAGAGAGATGAAAAAAACTCGCACCTTGAAATGGGATGGAGATATTTTTAAAAGTCTCCCTCCATCGTGTCTGGCTGAGGTTAAAACATGTCTGCCAAAGATGTTCTACTCCCAAGACTCTTGAAAATTATTCTGAGGAGAATTTTGGTGTTTCCTTTGGAAAATATCCAGTTGAATCAGTATTTTCTAAACATATTCCCAGGATGTGACCTTAGAAGTCTTTAACAATGCACATGTGGGTACATTTCTAAACTATGAGCTGCTGGCCTTCCCCCTGCCCTTCTCCTCCCTCAGAAACCCCTTGAAGGAACAAGAAATGACCTGGATTGGCTGGGGAACATGATGTCACAGGGCTGACATCTATTTATTTAATGCTCTGCCCTACAATACCTGTGAGAAAAATGGTATTACCTTTCCAGTTGGAAACTGATTTTACTTCTTAGTGGCATTTCCAGAACCAAAGTAGCCACTTCACAGAGCTGGACTGGTGGGGAGTGCTCAGGTCCTGCTACCTCTCCAGCATACCTGCTCTGGACCACATGAGGGGAGAGCCTTCATGTGGCCACCCAGCTGCCCCCATCTCTCCTTTCCCTTCATATGGTAACTGAACTGGGCCATGATAAAGAAGGTAAATAGAACAGTCCCTTGCTTTGGGTCATCTTTGAAAAAGCTTTTCAAAGACTTCAGTGTTCAGTGGACTTGCCTGGTGGGATGGGGACCTTTAGCTGTGCTGGAAATCCCCCAGGCAGGTGCCGCATTCCCCATCGCTTTCCTCAGCATCTGTACCCTTCCAGCACATTGTACTGTGCACAGGCTGAGGGAGAGATCAGGAGAGAAGTTCCTCAAAGTCTCCATCCCTTCTGGTCTTTAAGGACAGACTAGGATCCAGTGCCCACCCAATGTTGTTTCCCACTCTGCAGCCCTGAGATCCCTTCCAGATTGCATTTCCATGACTTGCTGCTGGCACTAGGGGTGCTCCCCTCTTGAGGACAGCAAGGGGGGCGGTGAGTCCTCTCAGATGGAGGACACACAAGCACTCCCGCTCTGACACCAGGATCATGGAGGAGGGAAGCAGGGGGATGGATGTGCCTTTTTTCACACCCAAATTCATCATCAGGAAGTGGACAATTGTAACCACCCAGATTTCTGGCCAAAAAGCAGGATGGACAGGGCTCTGCCAAGTGAGACTAAGGTAGGGAGAGGTACTTCACCGAAATCATAGATTCTGAGAAGATTGTCACAGAGGCAATTTTCCTCTCCAGTCCTTCCCTGCCTCCCCACATCCTTGCTGCAGAGCATCTGAAGGCCCAGGATACACAATTCACCCCAGCATTTCTCACCTTGGTGCTTGGGCAATGAGGATCTGAAACAGAGCTTTGACAGCAGAGGCACAGGGAGTGACAAAGACCCACCATCTTTTGAAAGCAGCACTGGCCTGCTCCTGCACCCACAGACAGATGGAGAGACAGGAGAATAGCCACTTTACATAGTGAGTAATTTTTAACCCCTAAGCCATAGCAATGGTAAAAACCACCACCCTACAAGAAAGAAAACAGCCTGTTGAAATAAACATTGACAAACGGAAGCCCCCGCACTAAATATATGCCTTCCTTGGTCTCATCAAATGCTCTCAGCTTTATGCTTAGGACTGACATTTCTTGCCTACCTGATTAAAACTGCATGCCCATGGCCAGGGAGGTCAGACTCCACCTTTCCCCAGATGGTCAGGACGTGCTGCCATTCCTGATCACTGAGCCCCATGGTTCACTGAAAGCAGGTCCCGAGTGCTCCCCGCAGCTGTTCGTCTTTCCCCAAAGGGTGGTTAGAGAGCTCAACCGTGGGATTTATAGCCCCTGCTCACAGACTTACACCTGTCAATCGTCAGCTGGATGTCTTTCTCTCTTTCAGGCTTGTCTAACCTAATCAGCCTCCCTGTTTTTTTCTAGGAGGCTATTTTGGGTCAGGTGCTATTGTGGGTGCCACTGATGGCATCGTTTCTGCTCTTCGTATTGGACTGGCATATGTCCCACTCTAGACAGAAAGGGCACTGCCAAAACACAGTGCCAGGAGCCTGTCCCAGGTTCCCAAGGACCCAAAGACAGTGTCAAGCTGTATGTCAGGAGATTCCTGAAGAGCACTGTCATCTGCAAGGCTACCCCACCTCCCTCCCACCAAGGGCAGACAGGAGAAAAGGCTGGGACAGCCGGTAGCATCAGCTGTACCACTCCAAAGACCTTTCCTTTCCCATGCTGATCTCAGTGTCCTTTTGCCCTGGAGTAACACTTAGTTAAGTGTTAACTTAAATTAAAACTTAAATTAAAACTTAACATTTACTAATAGAGAAGAGCACAGTGTTAGAAGAGACACATCCTTAAGAGCTAAGCATTTTCAAAGTGGTCCAGTCATGTCCCCAGCCTCTGCAGCCGGGAGGAAGGGGATAAGAGCCATATGGGAGCCAGTTACCCTGCACCTGCCTGCTGGGGTCCTTCTGCTTGCCTCTCTGGGAGCACTCAGGGTTAGCCACTGGCTAAGCCTGGATATTGGAGCCAACAGACATAAAGCTGAGCCAGGAGGGTAATTTGCAGCAGGCCAGAGACACAAGGACACAGCAGGGCTTCACTCAACATGTACCCAGGCAGCAGTTAAGGTCTCTGGCTACCTCTGTCAAGCTAAATATCAGTGTTGGGAGGAAAAGCCACTGGGCTGACAAACAACATGGGTATGCTCTGGAATACCTCCCAGCCTTTCTCCTCCAGCCCCATCAAGACTGATAACGGCCTGTCACACCAACAGGCTGATTCGTCCCTTCCAGGGGGGTGACTGCAGTCAGAGCCTAGACTGATAACAAAGACCAGGTAATGCTGATGTTCCAAAGCATACACCCACCTCTGGACATTTCCAAGGGGGCGCACGCCACAGGCTTTGCCAGGTGAGAAATGTCAACCAAGGGCTGAAGACCTTGGAGTTTAGGAGAAGAGCATGCAACCCCTCTGTCCCTACCACAGTGCTGCAGGACCTGAGGTGCATCTCTGCCTCTGCACCTATCCACTCTGCATCATGGGAACAGTCTCCCTGACCCAGCCTTGCAAGGGGAGAGAAGTTCCCCTGTACAAGGGTAATCAGGCAGTGAGGAGGATGAAGGCACAGAGCCTCACACCCCTTGGGTAAGAAGGGTGGCAAAAGCCAACTGGAGGTGTCAGCTGATATCCAAATGCAGAGGTAAAGGGAATTTTGGCCATTACACATTGCAAAACTCTGTCAGCCAAGTCAACTTTTGACCCTGCAGTCTTGCCCTTCTCTCTTGTCTATGCACCAGTTCACGTCACATCCAAAAAATTCACATCCTAAACACTTTGAGGCAAAGATTTCACCCTGATTTACCTGTGCAAATGCCAGGCCCCTACCAATTACCCAAGCTAAGCTAAACTGAAGGAAGACAGCTTAGAATCCCTCCAGCTCATTCCTCATGTTGTTTTCCATAGCACAGGGCTGAGATGGGCGAGATCACATACCTGCAGCCTCACTCTCCAAGTACTTAAAGCAGTAAACAAGCATTTGCACCATCCCAGCCTCAGCCTTGGGTAGGATCCTGAATACTGACCTTACTGTTTTACATGCGTTTCAGACATGACAGAGATGTGCTTTTGGTACTTGAGAGGCTACTACTACTTATGCGCCGAGCTCTGTCATATTCCCCAGGCTGAAACTACTTAGCTGCTGTAATAGCTTAATTTGAAGTTGGTCAACTCTCTGCTCTCTGTAGCTTTCCCCAGGGTTGTGAAGCCAACAGTCCTGGTATGGGCATTAATGTTAAATGGTCAGAAGGCTTAAAAAGAGCATGAGATTCCATAATGCTTTTTTTCACAAGTGAAGTAGTAATGAAATTAAATCATAAGATGTTTTCCCTAGAGCTTAAACACATAGTCTGCAGAAATACTAAAAGCTTTATAGCACACCAGACCATGCCTCAACCCCGCAGCCACGAAAAGGACGTAAAATTTTCGCATCTACAAGCCTCTCCTCTCCCCCTCGGGGAAAAAAATCTATCACTTGCATAATCATCTCAATAAACGCAAACTGCGGGGAGCCAACATAGCCACTGCCCTCTCTAAAAAGCACTGGGTAATTGAATAACCTATTTAAACCCCACTGGCCACACCATGCATCCACACCTATGGTGCGCTCACTAAACGAGTGTAAAACGTATCATTAATAACTCCGGCCACGTTTTGGGGTGCATCTCTGGCGCTGGATGCGGTGCGGTCGCCTCGGTGCAAAGCCCCCCGGGGCGGGGGACGCGACCACCCGGCGCTTCCCCTGCCCGGGCAGGATGCGCCACAGCACTTCGGTTCCGTCGGCCAGGACTTGCTACCATCTAGTGGCCACGGGTGACAAAGCCACGGGGACTGGAGGCCACGTCCAAGTCCCTGCCCGGGATTTGGAGGTTCAGGGGGGTGGCCAACATGTAGCCCTCAAATTTCAGAGACAGAAGAGTGCCCCGAGGACACGCAGGACTGCAGCGTCCTAGTGCTGGCAGCAGCACAGGGCTCTCGCTGCGGTTGTGTGGCAAAGCTTCCTTAAGGGGCACGTTTTCAGTGCAGGGCGTAGACATAGCCTGTTTTCCTCTGAAAGGATTGGTGTTGGGGCAGCAGGGCCCTGGACTGGCCGGGTGGCTTTGCTCCCAGCCTTGTGGCAGGTCGATGGCGCAGGGAGGATGCTGTGCCTTAACCTCGAGTGCTGGAGAGGGTTGGCGTGGTGGGATTGGGGCAGAAGAAGATCCCATGGTACAGAAGCAGAGCCACAGTCAAGCCTTGAGGTACTGCCAAGGAAGAAGGCTGTCCTAGGGGCTTCATGGGGATTGTTTCTACCTAAAAATGCTACCAAAAGCCCCCCCATCTAACAGGCACAGCAGGCAGGGGAAGAGCCGTTTCTGGCAAAATAGTGTATGCAATGTCACCTCTGCCTTGCTCCTCCATTAACGCTTGAAAAACCTTTCTACGAGCATTAATTCCACAATGCCATGAGTGGAGAAGCCACTTCTTTTCCCCATTTATGAGGGATCAGAGAAGTTCTATGACTTGTTTGAGCCCACAGACACACCGGTGAGAGAGCAAGGGCTGGCTCTTGGGTATGGTTTTAGAAACACCAGCTGTCTGATGGCTATTAATACAGGGCACAGCCACCCAGGAGGAGCTGGGAGGCATGGTAGGAATCGCACACCAGCCACAGGGAGGGACCAGCTCCAAGTCTGTTTGGCCACATTAATTTTTTTTCTTAGAGTATCACTGTTGTGAAGAGAAAAATTCAGCCCCAGCCTGTAAAGTGAACATTGGAGCCCAGAAGTCTCCCACGTTGCCTTGGCAGTTAATATAACAGCTCACCAATGATTTCTTGCCCTGTCTTCTCTGCAGTCAGACCTGCTGCAAGTAAGGAAGTTGTGTACCCAAGAGAGAGGCACTAGCAGAAATCACAGATTTTTTTTTAATTTGAAGTAAGTTCATGAAATAAACTTTCAAGTAAGGAGGAGAGATATGCTCCAAAACCCAGTCCATTTTCCTCAAGAAACAACCCAAATCATCCTGTGTTCTTACTCAGCAAAACAGCTCAGAGGGACCAACAGATTTTTTGACCAAATACTTTTTTTCTTTTCAATAAGCCTTTTCCCCCACAATACAATTTAAAAACAAACCCTGAGAGCAGCTGAGGGTCCTGCAGCTGGCGGTGGCAGTGACAGCAGCCCCAGCTATGCCATGACCCTGGGATGTATAATGCGTGGCATGACATAAGTGTGGTACACGCTGCTCTGTCAGGGGAGCAGTTGAGGGAGGAGCTTGGCACTCCAAAAAAGCCAGGAATATTATATAACACCAACTTACATAATTACCAGTTGCATAATGCTGAGGAAACGGCCCTCCATAACGCAGCTGTAGTTTCTATGGCATTTTGCTGATACACGGCTGCTTCTAAAAGAATCATTTGCACTTTGTTTCAGGAGCCTGCAGCTCAGTCCATGCAGACAGCTGAGACCTCACGGTCTCAGCAGCATTAACTGGCGAGTTAAGGGTAGTAGGATCTTATAGCCGTAGCAATGCAAGAGCACTGGTTTTATGCAGCTGAGCCACTGACTTCAGGATTCAGAGGGTCAGAAGACTGTCACATAAGAGCACCTTATGAAGCTGCATGTATTGCTTAGCCCCCGCCGCTTGTAGGGAACAAGGTAGAGTCTAACTGGTGGTGGCAGTGGCCAAATCCCTTCCAGACTCACTCCTCTCTTCCTCTTGCTCTTAAACACTATTATTAGCAGTGCCTCCAGGCAGGGCTTCCTCGAACTGATGGATTTCAGCAGCTGAGAGGTGATCCAAGCCACTTGCTTAAAAGGAACAGGAAGGATTAGGAGGAGGAGATTTCAGCATCAGGACAAGATTTAGGATGTGAGTTTGCAGAGCTGTGCTATGTACTTAGCAGTATCTCAGCATGGATTCTTTCTGGGATCATGCCCTGTGCCATAAAGTCAGAGGTAGCTTTACCTTTGCTCCAGTGCTTACAGGATCCAGACTTGGGTGACTATCAGACAGGCAACTGTATGAGTCAGTCATTTTCTTTTTCCAGAAGGTGCACAAGTTAACGCAGGCATGACCCACAGCTCCCATGCAATCATCAAGGCATCTCACGGTGTACGTGACACTGCACAGCACCTGGACAAAACATTTATCTGGGCTAAGCAGGACACATTTTGCAGGCCAGTACTTGGGATTCAGTGGGAGAACAAGCAGGAAAGCAGCAGGGCCATCCAGGACCAGAAAATTTAGCCTCCAATATAGAAGCTGAAGCTGTCT